TGACGTTGAAGAGCTGAAACGGTTCTGAGGCCGGAGGTCAAAGTGAAAGCGATGTTTTATAGAATCATTATGTTTGTTGCATCAGACGATGATGAAAGTCTGACGACCAAAATAAAACTAAACGAGCTGCAGTCTGACTGTTCACACCACGATGCATCCCATAATACTGATGCTCAGCGCTGGTGACAGATTTAGTCTTCAGAAGGATGTTAAATGAACCATAAACCCATCCTGGGTCCGTTTCCGTCCTTGTTGTGCTGCTTTAGGATCTTTTATGAGGTGGTTTTGTTTCTCTTTGGGGTCATTTTGGCCGTTTTGTGGTGACTTTCCTTTTTTTTTTGTCTTTTGAGAAACTGCGCCTCTTTTTGTGGTGATTTTGTGTTTCTTTTTGGTAATTTCGGCCTCTTTTGTGGCGATTTTAAGTCTTTGCAGTAATTTTTTCCCATCATACTGATGCTCAACGCTGGCTGTAGAGAAAATAAACAAAACAACAGATTCAGTCTTTAGATTGTGACGCCTGGATGGATGTAAAATGAACCATAAACCCTTCCTGTGTCAACTTTCACCCTTGCTGTAATGATTTTGTATGTTTTTTGTGCCAATCTTGAGTCTTTGAAGAGTTTGCGCCTCTTTTTGGGAGATTGTGAGTGTGTTTGTGGTGATTTCAGGCCCTGTTGTGGCGATTTTGAGTGTTTGGGGTTAAAGAAAAACAAAAAAACAACGTATTCAGCTGGAAATAAATATGCAAATAACAAGAGCAACGTTCAGACGAGAGCAGCAGAGACGATGCGTTTGAAGGAAACAGGAGTTCACATCAGCGTCGTTGACTGTACACAGATATCTGAAGCGCTGCTCTGCTTCACCTCTGTGGCTTCGTCAGTCTCTCTACTGTTCCACCGTGAGCTGAAACCACACAGTGACACTGAGCGGCTGCTGTCAGAAATATAACACATTGAGAGCCGTAGCTTCCTTAACAGGAAACACACTGAAACCCTCCAAACAACGGAAACTACAAGTTCAGCCAGACATGAACATCTACCAGCTCACGTACGGTGACCAACGGACGAGAAACTAATCACTGGAAACCAGAACCTGAAAGACGGGACTTCAGCTCCGACTTATGAAATCGTTCTGTCTTTTAAACAACAGGCAGATCCGTTCACTTAGAAACATCTGTGAAGAAACGTCGTTCCACATCAGTGCCTGAGGACCAACAAATACAGCAAATGTCTGGGCCACCGATGATGTGACTTCAGCTGCAGAGAGAAAACGAGTTACTCAGGCCGCAGACCGAGGCGGAGAGTCGGGGAGCAGACGGAGGAGCTCTTACCTCGTACTCGCCATCGCAGAGCGTCGGATCTCACAAGAAGAGATCCGAAGAGACTGTTAGAGGAAGTACGATTCGTCACGTGGCTTCTTCAAATCTGTCTCTCACTGCGCCTGTTGCAACACTTCCTGAAAACTGAACCGCCGTCTCATGTGCCCCACCAGGCCGTCAATAATCAATAATCAGTGTACCAGATGATCAATAATTCATATTTAGAAAAACAGACTATCAATAATTCATATTTAGAATACCAGAATATCAATAATTAATAATCAAGATTGAGAAAAAGTAGCAATAAATAAATTCCAAACTGCCAATAATCAATAATCAGTGTACCAAATGATCAATAATTCATATTTAGAATGCCAGAATATAAATAATTAATGTTAAAATTACCAGAATATCAATAATTAATAGTCAGGATAAAAAAGTATCAATAATTAAATACCAAACTGCCAATAATCAGGATATCAAAACTATCAATAATCAATCATCAGAATACCAAACTGCCAATAATCAGGATACTACAGTATCAATATTCAATCATCAGAACACGGAAGTGTCAATAATCAACAGCCAGAATACCAAGCTATCAATAATCACAATACTAGACTGTCAATCATCAGGATACCAAGTAATCAATAATCAATAATCACAATACTAGACTGTCAATAATCAATAAACAGAAATGATGGAAAAGTCCATTAACAAGTGAGAAATCTATCAGTAATCAATAATCAAAACTATCAGTCAACAGTGAGGATCCAACCTGTCACTAATCAGGATACCAAATAATCAATAATCAGGAAGCCAGACAGTCAATAATCAATATAAATGATGAACCGGTCCATTGGACAGTGGTGGAGCTGGACCCTCTGTGGACTGGAAGGTTCTGGTTCTGTGTTTGTGTAAACGATCCACAAACTGATGCAGAAAACAAACAGCTCCTCGTCTGAAGCTTCTCCAGCAGGTGGAGGATGAGGTTTCCGTTCTCGGCGTCTCCTGAGGCTTCGCCACAACACCGTCCTGGTGCAATTAGCCGTGCTGAGTGTCGTCAGGCCTCATTACTGACCGGCCCGGCGGGTTCGTCCTCTGAGGAGACGCCTCAGAGGATGAACCCGTCAGGCCTCGGGGAGCTCCTCCATCATTACTGACCGGCCCGGCGGGTTCATCCTCTGAGGAGACGCCTCAGAGAAGCTCCGGCGTTTCTTCTGAGGGTTCGGCCTCAGCGAGCGTCTCAGGCTCCACGCGGTCATTACGGCTAAACGGTCAACATGTTGTGGCGGGTCGTGGTCCCCTGAGGCTCATTAACCTGCTCACAAACATGCAGCAGCTGTGGCGGGAAAAACAACGTACGGCTCACCGCGGGGTTGGAGTCGCCGTAGACGTTACCGTAGAAACATCTGGTTGGTGTTTTACTGAGTTTTTACGTCTTTTCCTCACCGTGGACTCTCAAGATAAAGTCCTGCTCCTCAGTGGAGACCCCACGGAGGCTCCACGTACCGTCCATGTCTACGTCTTTACAGCCTCTGTGTCTCTTTTTGTTTCGTTTTTTTTTAAGGTTTTTTTGGTTCTTTTGTCGGTTTGTGGTGGTTTCGTCTCGTATTTAACCATCTCTTGTCTCCTTTCTGCCATTTTGTCTCGTTGTCGTCAATTTGTGCCACATTTTTGTCGTTTTGTTTATTTTTTTGTTTTGTTTTTGTTGTTTTTGAAGTTTCCGTCACCTTGTAAAGACCATGGAGATCATGACAGTCTTGAGTTTCCAGTGAGTCCTATGACGTAATCATCAGAACACATGAATCTTTATCACAAAAACAA